GTTTGGGAGTTTTCGCTTTCCAAAAAATATGTGCAGATGAGGTAATTTACTTTCGTATCTAATTGCTTGTTACTGCTCAGTTCGTGTTCGCTAGTAAGCAATTCCGCAGCGGGGGGCGTTTTTCTTTCCCCAGTATTGACAACCACAACTGCTGTGACCATAGTTATATCGGGTAAGAAATGTACACAGAACAAAACTACGAATAGGCATATTGCGGGGGACGGACTGCACAAGGACAGGTAATTACAGGTAGCCAGAAAAACCAGAATGCTTCACTTTGGGAACTGATATCTATTTTAGAATATCATGTAGCGGCCGCTGAGATATCGCCCAGAATTCATAAGCTGCAACTTGGGGACATCAAAGAACTTGCAGCTGTTCAGTCTATATTGTTGCTTAGATGGGACAACAAATATCCGTTGAGTGTCTAGAAAACATGCTTGTTCGCAGACCGACATGTGTAAGCAAACCGGTGAGAAAGTGTGGATCACCTGAAGACCACAAAAGAATTGATGGGTTGGCTTGATTAAATCGAGTCCTGTTGATGGTCAAAACCCTCAGCATCGAAACCACTCCTTTGTTTTCATCATGCTGGACAGATATTCACATTTGCACATGAATCTAATTTTGTTATGAGGCTGAACTGAACCCAGCTGAATTTCTCGTTCATAATGGTGTGTTAAATCAGGTGGCCTCATTACGATATTCGAGATCTTCAATTTGGGTTCAAGTAGACCATTTAGTTGACGAAAACCGGAAGACTGCACCTATCTGATGAGCCTCAAGAAGAGAAAAATTAACCGCTGGCTGTCAAGAAATTTCTAAGGTTGTTGTGTTACGTCTGGGCAAAAACGTATTGCAATGTTTCAGCTATCGTGCCAACTGAAACACGGGATAGCCTGGTGCAACACACTTAGTTGAGATGGACCATCTTTAAGGGGGAGATTTGGCTACATTCGATTGAGCTTCCTGTCAAAACCAAATTCGTGTGCAAAAGGAAATATTTGCCGAAATCCGTCCAATTTGGGTTCTCTAGGTTAGGGGATTGCCGCCCACCTCGGCCCCAAAAGGAGCCGCCGAGGAGTTTCTAGCAAACTTATGAGTAACCTGTTACCTCTGGACAATACTGTTTTGTGCTTATTAGGACAGCTTAATTTTTTATAAAATTCGACCATCAACCTGTCCTTCCAGCGTACTCTAAACTGGCTATTGGAATAAAAACGTTGCCTCAGAGAGTAGCCTGCGAACTAAATGCAGCTTGAAGAGACCATTGTACACAAGATTTTTATGTTATACTCATCTGTTTCCGCAACGGAAAATCGTATTGGAATTGCATTCATAATCTGTAATTACTGAGGAAAATAACTTGGGTGGGAATTTCTATACCTGAAGACCCCGCAGTTAACTCCCATTGCCTGATCATTGGTGAGGTGATTTCTGAGACACTAGCAAAAGATTGTTGGGTGGGTTACCTGTTCTGGAAAAAGCTTTACTGATTTTAGTCAAAGCTTCTCTAAGACAGAATGACATGACAACAAAGAATATATAGGCTGTTTCGTTTCAGAAGAGGTTGGTGAACAACCGGTAGTTCTTATTTGGGTAACGTTTCGCTTCTGACACAAAAGCTTCATTAGGCCAACTGAACAGGCTGGCTCGGAAGAATAGACTTTCAGATGAGTTGAACAATTTGGTAATTAACTAAGGTCTACAGTCAAGTGGAAATATTGCGAAAATGCTTTGGAACCGTGAAAGACATTTAGCAAAATTACGATTAGTTGTGAAACTGGCGTACCAAGCAGAATACTAAATCTAATCTTAGTTCAAGGACCGCAATTTTTTTGATTTCTGAGAGTATAAGGTATTGACTTAGTGTCGATCAAGGAGATGCATCGGTAGATCGTCTTTTCCTTGAGGTCACCGCCAATTCTAGATAGTAAGATCTCTTGTTGAGTTGTGCTTCGCTGGAACACGTTTGGGCGTACTAAAAAGAATGCAATGGACCCATTAAATTACGGAACAACAGTGAAGTAGTACTGTTTGGCTCATAAATAGAAGTGAGGTATATTCTCAGAGAGGACCCACTCAGAGGGAGGCCAATATCTCAGGGGTGTCCACATTATGTACTTGGTGCGAAGTTTTACCTCTGAAGGAACCACTCATAAGTCATCCAAGACGTTGTTTCTCAAGGATCGATTCCACTCCCCCTAGATAGGTAATAAACTCAATCTCCCGTGGCCAAGTATATCAAAAAACAATTCAGGTTTTGTCATTACTGAACCACTTAAGCTTGGGACGCAGTGCAAAGCATTTATGCCAAAAACGTGGTTGGCCTAATTCAAATACTCAATATCAGGTTAGTTTTCAGTCCAGCTTGAGCCCTCTCTTAATTTATGAGGGACAGTCTTTAGCTTCAGTTGGTCTTTCAGTAGTCATTCGCTTGGACATGCGACTAATAATCGTATACTTGTGAACCCCAAAGTTTTTGGAGAACGATGTGTTGCGCGGGAGTGGAGGCAAAACCTTAATCGCATGCAGTACACCGTTAACAGATAATCCCACTTCCATTCCACACAGTGACCATGAAGGAACGTGTTAATAAAAGAGACGAGGGAATAAGAAATATCTAAACCTGGTGCACTAAGGCCTTTAGCTCTAACAGAATATCACACATACATAAATAATAAGATATTTGCGCATTCGAACGGTAACTAAAGAAGAACATGTGGACAATCTCCAGGACCAAGATGTCATTAGCAAAATTAGACAGGCACCGTGAGAGATTAACGTTAGTCTGACTAGGAAACGGCAGCAAGCTCGTCACTGAGGTTAGTGAGATTAAGTTTCCTGTAGGTTTTTACCCACATTCTATGAGGAGGGTGCACAGATCTAGCAGCGGCATCCAGTTTGACTGCAGCCACATTCAGTTTACGTCCATAGTCATGTTATAGTCCCTTGTCAATCAAATTCTCCCCAGCGAGAGTTTCGAGGGGACACCCACACTTCCTTTAGTTGACGCCGTTTGCGAATGCGTGTTACTCTCGCATCCTCATGATGTTTTTGCTCCTATAACGCAGCATTTTCTCGACGATGCAGTCGGCTTTTTCAGCGGTTAAGATACAAAGTAATATTCCAGGTGCGTCTCCTTTCAGCCATCTTATTACTGTAGTGTAGTTAGCTTGAAAGTGCTCTGGAAGCGGATAAGCCTGCATTACAAACCGTCTGTAGTTTGGAAATAAAAGTGACTAAATCTGGGGAAAAAGCTCACTTGTGAGCGCCAAGTGTCTGTGTCACCCGAATGAAATGATTTTAGACTACGACATCGTTTTTGCTAGAATGAAGGTGGATGTGAATGGGGATTTCAATCGCAGTCTTTAAAAATTACTAGGTCACAACAAGCGAAAGCAGAAAATGAAGTTGAACAATGCTTCTTAGACCACCGAGTTATTGAAACAGTTTGCCTTTAAATGGCCAAAAATTTTACGACTGAACTTAGGAATTTTCGGTACGAATTATGCTATAGTTACACTATCTCGAAGATCATCAAATGTCTGGTACAAAATCTACTGGAAGCACTCAAAATATTTTGCACGGTTTTTCCATGACCCGCTGTACCGATGTTAGATCCGGTACAGTACAATCAAGAAGAAAACACCGCAATTGGAGAAGTGAGACGATGCACCTCAATGAAAGGCTTACTGTAAAGTGCCGCAATTAACCAGAAGGCTTGCCGGAACCCTAATCTAACTACATAGAGAACGTTTAAATTTGCGGTACACCTGTTTGTTTTTCATTTAGTATTGCAAGCCATACGGGAGATTCGGCTTCATGCAACATGACGGTGTTTAAGCCCTGGAAGTGTGCTACCTGAGTCTTCACTACATATCTTTGCTTCCAGTCCCTCGCGTGCACCGGCAAACTTATCGGTGTGATATTCCTAGAAGTGCATTATTGTAACTGTGAATGATTTTGACAGTGCTGCTCCTCTGCATCATTTTCAGCACTTACCTCGGTATCAAGTATTCATCCCTTTGACTGTAAATCTTCTAACATCTTCAAATGGACTGACAAGATATCTCGCAAGAAGCATCCGTGACTCACTTTTGTTTCCCCTGGAAGACACTAAACACGTCTGCAATTTACGCCTTCATTTTCACTGTTTTGCGAAACAAAACTGAAGTAATCAATGCCCAAAAGAACTCCGACGACTCCATTATCATTAGCATTCTCATCGCGAAGATTAGCTTTCAGAAGCGTCTGGAACAAGTGCAGCTTTTGTATTAGCTTGGTCAGCGCGGTGCAGGAATCACGTGCTAAACACGTTACACTGCTGCGGCCAAGGTTCCTTGTTCGACGTGAGGCATACATATCGTCTGGCTTAAAATACGAGACTATCTCCCCACGCTGGTTCAGACCTTCAAAATAGCTCCCCGTTTGATTTCTTGTACTGTGGCAATCACGTAGGTAAATGTAGTGTAAATGCGAAGGGTTAAAATTCTTCAATTAACTGGAGAAGATACATAAACCACGTTGCGTGTCTGTATAATCTGGAACATTTCCGTATTAGAAACTAAGATTGATGGAAATTTATTGAATAGGCCTACCTGATGAGCTCCAAGAAGCGCATAGTTGTCCGGGGTTTTCAAAGACACTATGAGTAGTAAGTAATCAGTGTAAGACCCTCGGGGAACAGTGCACTTAAAAACAAAAACCACTCAGTCAGTTTGGGTGCAACGTTTCCATTATCAAAACCTAAGCTTTTATTACGTTCCTCCAATGGAAAAAATATAATGATGTAGACTAATAGAATTGAACTTCGGTACACAAAGCGCTTGGTAGCATATTGGGAATGCGATAAAAACAGTTTGTTCGATTAAAAGCAGTTAAACTTATCTTGTACGGTCGCACAGAAACAAAACTGAATTAAAAGCGGAGTATAGTACTCTCGGCGCCCATGGGTGGCTTCTCCAGGAAGCTACTCATCAGGAAACTTTGACAGTTCATCCATAGTTTGCGTGTGGATTTAAGCGACGTGCAAAATACATATAAATTGGACCACAATCATTAACGACGGCACCAAATTGGTTATCCCACTTAAGGTACGTCACATTCACTTCCCAATCATCAGAGTACTCCTTCTTTTCGGCAAGGTTCAGATTGTCCAAATGGTCGATCGCTTCTCTCCATTCGTAAGGTTTCCGCCTCGCGTCTGGCGATGCCGTTTGTTTGCGTTCATAGACTTTTTGATATCCCTTCGGAGAAGTCTTTACTACCGGTACTCGATAAAGTTCTAATGGTGTACTATCATATCTTCTTGGCTGATAGTCATCAATGACGGGATCGGACACTCGTTGGGAAGGTCCATCCACCACGAGGCTCGTTGTGGACCGTGCCAAGCGTTCGGTTCTATCTAGTTCTGTGGTGGAATGATAATGCGCCGGTAGGGACAGTTCGGACAAGCGCGAAAACTCTCTAATGGGTGTCACATCCCGGAGCCTGTAGTCCGAATCTAGGGAGGCCTTGTAGATAATTTCGCAAATGGCGAGCACATCCTCCCTGCTTTTACACTTGAATGCCTCGTAGGTTTTTTTGATAGAGCGACCATTGTCAATGCACAGCATAAACGTGTCTGGTTTATCTTCAAAGAGAAAAACATGCTTGATTGCTCTGTAGGTGACGAAATTTCTTGCCGGTTGAGATCCAAGTAGTTTTGTCTTTCGGAAGCGGATCATATCCTCTAGAAAGTAGGCAATGCAATGTGATTGACGTTTCGAATGTAGACGTTTCATCAAAACATCCGCTTTGGCTTGCGAAAATTGCTCATCTCGGTGTAAAGCGACTCGACCCAAAATACACACATGGCATTCGAAGAATAGTTGTTGTTTGGTCTTTTGATCCAAAGATTTTCTCAAGACACTTTGATCCAACGAATATCTAGAATCTGGGGGCTGTTGGTTGACGATGAGTGATTTGCTTTTCCGCGAAGGCATTGTTCCCATACTCCACTTCGAACGTCGAACAACTGAGCCTCTGGGTGTGCAACAAGTTTAAGTGCCTTTTGCACAGGCTTCAGACGTTGCGAGCAGACACTACAAACTCAGCACATTTTGACTTATTAGTGGAGAACTGTCTGATTGGTGCGCACACCACACGTTGACGTAGCTGGACTCTCATTTGCTCGTAAACTGCGACAAGTGCTCTGTGCCACAGTCATCATGGCGACTCAAATTCAGGTTACCATAGCTCGTATTTACCCAAGTCCTCGAGAGCATTCAAATATTTGCATACATTTACCACGTTTAAATCAAATGTCGGGAAACCACACGTCTTTCTCCGGGTATTTGATCAAATGACAGTAATTTTTCTCGAAAATTCGGCTGAGCGTGCCTATAAATCGACCTTGCTTTCAAGATAAGATGTGAAATAATGTATACTTGTGAACACATCCAGTGTTCAGTTTTTCATGACAATCTTTACCCATTCATCTGCATCATCTGAAGACAGCATACAACCATTTCTAGCATATCGTAACGTTGTGGTCCAAAGGTATCTGCCTCCATTCAAGAAGCTTTGAGTTATTGCAGAATATCATGGGGTAAGAGTCACCGATTTGTGCAACATCAGTCAAGATTTTCAGTCCTCTGAGGTCAGAAAGTGTAAGCAGTCTGCTATTTATAGTAAATTATGAAGAAACTGTAAAGAGAAACATAACCTAAGGGTAAGAGGTCCTAAGAGGATAGGTTCCTTTCAGCTAGCTAGTTGTCGTGATCACATTGGATTTCTTTGCAATGCCCCTCCTGAGGAAACAAACACTCGTGACAAACGAATATAAGCTCCCACTAGAGAGACATCCTGCTGTGTGAGAGAGGAAACGAAGAATAAGTACATTCAAATACACAAGCCAAAAAAGGCGAGAGGCACATTGTGTACAGAACTACCATTTCAGTAGCAGACACAACGGTAGGATAGTTTCCATAATCTGCACAGTTTGGGTTAGTGCCATGTCGGGAACGAACACAAATATTTTGGGCAAAATTCAGGTCAGCTAACTAGATAAGGTGCAGAACAATGAAAATTATGGGCAAATGAACTTGCACCGACTGCTACCATCACTGAAACAGTCAATGCCCTATTCACCTTCCTGACCGGGCACCTTCATATTCGTAAATGTGGCTCGTGTTCCTGTACTTCGCTATGGATCAGTCATACCCACAAGGGATATGGCTATTGGCCATCAGCTGGGTCGGCACATCAGGGCTAAGCATGAGCTACTTGAGCAACGACACACGGACTTACCTGTGATGGGCTGGAGCGACGGTGCTCTGCGGTCAAGCGCCAGTGCACCGAGCGCGACTTGCAAGCCCTTTTTCCTGGTTCATAGAGTCGCATGGAATTCTCGAGTGGATAATGTACCGGTCCTGTTTCACCTACAAGACTAACTTCACAGTCAGTGCATTGTATTGTATACATAGGTGGTGGGAGAATCAGGCCTCTTTCGGATGTACTCAGTGCTTGCTTATTGCGTTGTTTGGTGCATACATTAAATTCAGACTAGACTGTACGTCCTTCAGGCGTACAGTAAATTTGACCATTTGTAATTTCTGGCATATAACCCACATGTGAATTGATGGTTTTTCCTGTGGGAGCAGTAAAGCAGTCATTCTACTTGAATGTCTTTCGTCATTTTTTATTGTGTGGGGACTCATATGACCAGAATTAAGTTCGCTCTCTCTTATCAGCGATTCTAATACCGACCTAGTAACAAGGTCAACAACCAGAGTTGAGTCACTCGGTTCTTGGCGAATAATGAACTCCATTGAACGCTCGTCAGCCTCTGGTTAAGTCATTACTTTTACACCGTTGCATAGAGTGCTAATGAAGGTTACTATATCACCACCGGACATGCGGTAGTCATTCAAGTAATTCACTGACATTGAACTGCAAACGTTTCAGAAAAGTATCACCTCCAGTTGATGCAATGGGGGAGCTTATGGTGACTCAGTTAGTCTAACCGCGAAAATAAAGTTGGAAGTACTCTGTTGCTGAGGTCTACTTTCAGCTCCGGGTGAGATCAGGATAGCATTTCAGCTGGGAACGACATTAATGCTGGTTCATTGCAAAGTCGGATACGTTGGATGTATTGTGCTTACGAGTGGCCATTTTTCCACCCCATAATTCCAGCAACTTTACAAACTAGGAAAAACTGCATTTCATTACCTTGCTATTTTTTTCAAAACCAAACTATACCGCGCATATCTAACACGGCATGCACAACGTCAAAATGCAGAAACTCTAACAATTCATGCTCAGCCTGGATGTGTCGATCGAACCACCGACGAAAATACTGTGAACGGTCACATTATTTCTGTGGTTGACTAGGGGTGACACTAGGATCGCAAGTGACGCTTCACAGTGGAAAGGCCCTATTTTAACTTTTGAAATGGCTAGTTGATGCGATTTTGAGAACAATGTGGTTCGAAATCAAAATGGCCCCGTTGCAAAATATGGTGCCCCGGGAGAGTGAATCCGGAATCAATTGTTCCAGGATATGTTACGGCTGAGCTACTATGACCTTGGATGTACTGTTCCTCTACACACTGCGACAAGATGCACTTTTCTGGGCTATGGTTCCCCGGTGTGTCGAGGTGAGCTGACAGTTGTTTTTCAAAGAATACCCAAGCCAAGCAAGTGATGCCGCTTTTACAACTTCGTGATCGCGCTCCCTCAATAATGTTGGAAGCGATATCGGCGTAATTAAAATTTTACTGTGAGATGTGATTGGCGGAATGCTCATTCGTTGGCTCAAACAAAAGCCGAAAGGAACTTGTTTCTGGTAGTTTGATATTAGTGGACTAATTGACCAAAACAGGTGTTTTAATTTTACTACTGTTGTAAGTGTTCTCACTTAAAATCAGATAAGGCTTGTTTGTAAATCACTGGAGTGTCAGGTCCCCTCATTAGTTCGTGTCAGGTCCCTCACTGGACCAACAAACCGAGCGGACCAGCTCAAACTACTGGCACCAAAGAACCTAACTGATTATTAGCTTAGGAACTTAGTAAGTATAGCCAACATGGTCTTTGGATTCATTGCAATGAGTACGAACTCAAGGCCACATGATTAACGTGAAACCAAACGACCAGTTTCCGGGTGTCATTAAATTCCGAAAATAATGTGTCTTCCGTGGCTGAGTAGTCCATACTAGCGCTTCAGTACATGACCAGAATGCGTTCATCCTCAATGATAAGCAAATTATCTAGCTAGTAAGTAGGAATTCGATAGGAAACCCTTGTAACTCCTCTCATAAAAGGGTGGTCAACAATTGATAGATTTAATTCCAGACAGTGTTCCGATTTCGATGCTTTTGAACTGATAGTCAATGCCTATGTTTCATATTAAAATCAAGACAAACTAAGCTCAAAAATTCTGAAATGATTGGGTAATTAACTACTGGTATAATTCGTATGATAAGCAAACCGCACCCGGCACAGTTATGTCCGATATAAATGGCGATGCAACGTCACGTGAGGGAGTGGTTTCTTTATGAATACTCACCTTCGTCATATGGGTTTTAGATGTGTAATGGGATTGGGGGCTGGGAGTTGAAAGTGTGATTGGTGAGTTTGCGAGAAATACACTCATTTGCAAATCAATTTCGTTTTCACGGGAGACTCAACTGAATCTCTCGTTTATGATATTCTACAAATAAAAGTGCTACAAAGAGACCGCCTCGTGTTTCAGTGGGCACGATATTCGAGATATCGCAGTATATTTTCATAAAGGAAACTACTCACAAGGTTGCTGAAAACTCTTCGATAGCCCACGACCGGTTTTGCCTTTCTCGGGGCTCATCAGGTAGGCGCAGTCCCCGAGTTTCCGTCAACCTTATCATCTACTTGAACCCAAATTGGACTGTTTCCGAAAAATACACTCATTTTCAAATCAATTTGGTTTTCACGACAGACTCAACTGAATTTCTCGTTTATGGTATTCTACAACTGAATGTGCTACACACAGGCCGCCTCATGTTTCAGTTGGCACGATATTCGAGATATCGCAGTATGTTTTCTTAAAGGAAACTTTATTATCGTTATATCGATTGCACTTATATTGTCAAAGAGAAAAGAATCGGCGACTGGGTACCAGACAGCAATGTTTTACTCTAAACTACGCCATCTACGCATATTTGGGTTGGATGCACATGCGCAGCGCATCGAGATGTGGGCGCTCTCAACAGCGCATATAACGTTAGCTCAGATGCTGTCCGCAGGGGTCATTCCCATGAACAGAACTCCATTTATCTCCAAGTCAGTAAACAGGGATGTCTTGATCGACCAGTCGGAGGAGGAAGTGGATCAAATAGAATCCAGTGAAGCTCACGCTGCCGATCACTCACTGTGTCTTGATTTCTACAGGGAAAGTTGATTAAGCCCCTACAACAAAGGTAGATCTTCTGAAAAAGCTGTTGAACTCAAAAGCCTTTTTGTGTGACGTGGCTTATTCTTGAAACTTACGTTGTGAACTTTGTCGACCTGTCATAGCGCGTATAGAACCGTTTCATCAGAATACTTTAAATAGTACTTGAGCATTTAACTCCCACGCCATAGTCAGTCGAACGTTCCGGTAGATAAGCCATGTTAGTTTCTAATGCTTCCAAAGGATGAGGGAGGTTCATGCAGAGATACCATCCATTGAGAGTGTCATGAGTGAGTGATCTATGCACTTTGATATAGAAATGAATACCAGGTAATGGTTAGACGTTGGCACGAAGTTGCTACAAAGTTGAGTACCTACAAGATAACTGCGCATACGGTCGCCATTGATAAGTAGGTGTATACCCAGCTATGTGGAGGGCCGAAGGATAAATCGCACAAAAATGCAGGCAACTATCCCTATGGTATGAACCGAATAGGAAAAAGGAGATGTACTCGATTTCTTCGAAACCCGACGCTAACATCATTGTTTGTCCCATAAGAAGTCGGAAGACAGCACGGAGCTGTC